ATATATGAGTATAAAACTGGTCAAACTTGGCCGAAAATGGTCAGATCGAGGCAAATTATTGACGCAAACGGCGGCATCGCTGTGCCAGAATTTTAAAATTGGTCAGAAAAGTTTTTAATACCGATTTTAGATTTTTTAGAGTATTTTTATATACGTGAATCGTGTTTTAATCTTCGCAGAAAAATTTAAAAAACCCAAGGACCAACAGTTGGTGCAACTGAAAGTTCGGTGTTTCGGATACCGATTCGAATAAAAATCCCTCACTTTATTCCCTGTTATAGAATTAAAATTTAATTATCAATAATACGGTATTTTACGTAATTTAAAAAATTTCGATAATTAATTAAAGGTTACTAATAGAGTCAGAACCAGTTATTTATTATTATTTGTCTTGTTTAATCAATGACTTGATTTTACAGCTTTAAATGCATGATAACATATTAGAATTGGTAAAATGATTCAGTTGTGTTTCCTTGATGCATGTATTGTTTGTCTTACGTTGATTTACGGTTAAATTGTGAAACTAAAAATTAAATATAAATGAAAAATTGACTGGTTAAGTGAATGACTAAATGGTAGTCTTACTGAATATCATAGGAGATAGTGGACGGACCGAGTACATAGGGAACCATACCGTGAATATCTCATCATACCGAACGGGGTATCGATGATTGATATTTTTGGCACTCATACCGGACGGGGTATAAGGACAACCCGTTTTACCCTTATACCAGACGAAATATTGATAAATAGTATTCTTGGTGCTCACACCGAATGGAGTATGAGGACGACTGGTTAGTTGACAATGTTAGATAATGGTTCACGCATAGTAAGACATCTCTATGGATCCCAAGGTTATCATTAGGCAAATAAAGAGAGAAAATTATTATTGTTACTCACTTGAATATAATATTATAATGTTATTTGAATTCTTATCTCTATAAGTCAATTTTGAAAATCTAGCAAATGGTAAATATATACAATAAATTATTTTCTTTATGATAAATAAATTTACTCAAATCAAGAGCTCTATTGATTATTTTTATAATTTTTACCAACCTTCAATTTCTGTATCGATGAGTAGTGTGATATTTTTACTGAAGTAGTGTACATCACAATTTCATTAACTATTTCAGATCAAGATGAACAAAACCCAGATCCCGATAAAAAAAAGAATTATGAATAATTCACCAAAATTAGTGAAGATCATCCTACAATACTTAGCATATTACATTTTATTTATTTCTTTGATTTTATTTATTTATTTTAAAAGGGTCGTTTTCGTAACTTTATTGAGCATTCTAAATTATTATGTAAAAAATATAAAGTCTAAACTCTATTGTTTCGCTTCTGTATTTAATTTATAATTTTCTTTTTTTTTTTAAATTTCGAGTCTTTACAGTTATTGTATTATTAAATAAATTATACTAATATTTTAAATTTAAAAATTATAAATTTTCATTTCTACGTGTATGGGAAGGTTGACTTTCTTATCTTATTTCGTTTATTTAATGTTTTTCGAGGTTGCTCGTGCTTCACATGGTTTATATATATATATATATATATATATATATGTATGGAAGTCTAAGATAGCTAAATATTTAATATTGTTCCAATTAATGCGTGAAATTATTTAGGAATAAATTATTATAGCTATGATAGCTTTAAATGTAATGTCTAATAAAAAGTATTTGTAAAATTTAAAAAAAAAATTAAAATAACAACCATTCACGTAATTGAATATAAATTTCTTTAGTTGAAATAATTATTATAAGTTAAAAGTTAATCAATTGAAATTTAATTCAACTTGATTACTACAGTCTCATATAATGTACTTTTTATTAGAAAATACAATAAATTCATCGTCGAGAGTTAATTCAATTTCGTTATAGCAACTTCACTAATATACTAATATTTGGTCATCGCAACCCTATTAAAATATTGATAGAATAAGTTATCAATTTTATTAAATCAGTTATTATAAATTGATCACTGTTAACTCATAATACACCTATAAAATTAAAAAAATTTATATTTTTAACGATATTTAAATTCGTAACATTCAATTGAAATACAAAAATCTTAACTATCAGACTATTACTATATTGTTATCGTATATACTTAATAAAAGTTTGAATTGATTGAACACGATTGAATGATTTCTTATTTATAATATGCAAAAATAAGCATACATAACATATAAGTAGAAAAAAATCATGAATCAAAGGAAAATCAAAAGGAAGGGAACTGAATTTGAGAGTCACATTTGCCATGAGGAAAAATAGGGCATTGGATGAACTCAGAGCCCGAGGAGTCAACGCACATGTAAACCTGATAAAGTTGACTGTTCCCAGATTCATCTTTGTTGCATTCTATCCATGCACTGTATCCACTTCCTTCTTCTATGGCTTTCTTGATACTTTCTAAGCTGTAAAATTCATCATCTGGGTGTATCTCTGCAGTAATTAAACATATTTTTAATTAAAAATTATATGATACATGATGAATATTATTATATATACTTTTACCGGCATCTGTAAGAAATTTGAGGAGATCAGCTTGTTTCTTCAAATCAAGAGCTGCTTGGAAGTAAGCACGTTGGTCAAGAACAGATTCAGAGCAGGTTCCATGTTTTTCCCACTCGTGCGTCCAAAACCCTAAGCCATTGCTACTTGGGCATGCCAGTGATGGCCAGCTCTTCCTCATCCTGCCCGAAAGATCTGATATCTACATATATATACACACACACACACCATTACGTACACACAGCAACGTTGCATGTATATGGATAATAGAAGAAGAAGAAAGAGAAATTAATAGAAAATTTCAAGTGGGTATATATAAACATTAATGAAACTTATAAAATTTCAAATACACAAGTTATAATCAAGTATAATTTATGAATCATAATTAAATCTAAATTGTGATATTCATAAGTTACATTTAATTTAATTTGTTAATAAGATAAAGAGTTTAATCATGTTTAATTATTTAAATTTAATTTTTTATTTTTAATAATAAATAATAATTAAAAATAATAGTAAATGGTAGTAAAAAAAAAAATAAAGGTGACAAATGATACAGTATATACACCTCAAAATATGTAAAAAAAAAAAAATACAATATCAATTTTTTTTTAATTAATAATAGAAAATTATGTAGATATAGTTTTATTTCATGGTTGACCAAAGAATTCAATAATGGTAATAATAAATATATAATAAAATATGAATAAATGAATTGAAGAAAACGAAAAGGTTAAAAAGAGCTCTATTTATCTGGTGGCTATAATCACTGAGAAAAGATTATTATATTAATTATAAGTACTTATTATATATAATTAACGTTAAATGCATCGGGTCCTATTATACAGCCTTGTGGCCGGCGTAAAATTTTCTGGAGTGTAATATACATATATATATATATATATATATATATATACATACACACACACACATGACAATTCCAAAGCAAAAAACAGTAGATGGTAACATTCTATGATACTGACAAGGAAAGAGATGATGAATTTGCTCAAACGAAATCTCTTTAGTTTAAAGCAAATACCCAATATTTCCTTTTCTTTCTTTCCATTTTTACCAAATAAAAAGATATGTATATGTATATGTATATGTAAGGAAGGGATTGTAAAGATTGGAACCTCAGATGGGTTGAAAGGACTATCAGGATCGCAGTTAGATGGGTATGAACCATCCTTGTAATTAGGCCAGAGTCCATGAATCCCAAAATCTGAATCAGGCTTCCCGATTGTTGGGTAGCAGCAACTTTTCTTTGTGTCGCAGTATGATCCTGGCCACTGCATTCATGGCTTCTCATCATGCATCTATACATACACACACATATATACATAGTTTTCAAGTGTAGAGGATGATTACTTACTTGCTGAACAAAGTAGAAGAAATCGAAATCCCGAGCTTCACACACCCACTGTGTTATCAAGATTGAGATCAAGATCATTGCAGAATAAGAGTACTTCATCTTCTTAAACCCTCTCCGCGAATGGGTCTGTTGAGTTTAGTTTTAGGTTGATATTTAACAGATGGGAAAATGAAATGGTGAAGATGAAGATGTATTTATAGACGAAAATGGAAAGTTATATATACATATACACAGAGAATCGGGAACCGGGATATGCTCATAAAGTGTGTAGATATCTTTACGAATTTAGTTAATGTCCGGACACTGTAACGTTCACTTATCTCCATGATTGGTTGAATTTTATGTCGTACCCATTTTGATTTTCACTGCATTTTTAACTTTTCAGGGAAATACATAAATACCCAGAAAAGGAATCGTTTCAGGCATCTTTTGCTTATATTCCTTGCTTTAGTTTCTTCCCCTATCCACCTCTTACACCCAACACATCATATAATAATATATATATATAATCATAATAATAAATACCTTCCTGATTTTAAAGATCATATATAACGTAAAAACAATGTAAAGAGTGTGAAGGCAAAGCATGTGGAAGGGTGTGAATATAGGAAACTAAAGTTTGGTGGGTGGGAACTCGAGAGCGTATCTGATTGGCGAGAGTTCTTCAAATGGAGTTGGGTTAGTGTGCGTACACACTGCGGAGGAACCAAAATTCAAAGCTACTGACTGCTTGAGAGACAACAAATTGAGTCAAAATTGAGCAGTATTTACATTTGATTTTTAAAAAGCTCTGTTAAATTGAATAGCTGGGTTCTGGTACCTCTGTCGCCATTCCTATCCAGATCCAAGCAGAGTCAAAACAAGGTAGAATCCCCGAGTTTGACTTAGTGAGTTTTATGTTTGAGTTAACTTAATGAGTTGACTCAGTGCAAAATCAGTATTTTTCTTACACAAGTAAATTACTGAATCAAATCTCAACATAACAACTTAGGAACATAGTAAATTTAGGGTTTTAACAACGGTTTAATATTTAATAGACTACGTATCAATTAACAACCATTCTAAACATTGAATTTAGTTCATTTAAAGAGAGCTTGAATTCAAGCTTGAACTTCAGTAAGTTTAAACTATATACAATTTGAGCTTCATAAACTCAACGTAAAAATTCATTTAATATACTATTTACTTTAACTTAATTTTTCACAAATTTATTTAATGTGTACATTATATTTTGATACAATACTTTTATGCTTCAATTTGTCTCGGGTAGATAAATGAATCTTTTTCCATGCTAGAATTCAGGTTTGAGTTCAAACTTGATAAAATCCAAACAAACTTGATCAGGTTTGAGTTTCTGCCAAAAAATCAGTATCTCACCTGTCCAATTATACCTGCTTGATCTCAGAAACCCGCCAGAACATGAAATTTGCCAATAATGATCAACAAGCAGGTCAAGATAAGATGAAAATGGCATTGATCTTGTCTTTCTTCCTGGTCTTCACATAAGAGTCGAATAGTCAATCTTCAAGGCTCTTGATTTCACCGGAAAATTTTCACAAGACCAGCCAAGAAACTTTGTATGTTGATAAGTACTTGAACTACATAACTCTGGTTAAACAAATCGTATTACCAGAAATCCCCACAAGAGCACTTCCCATCTTTAAAATGATGGAACCGCTGAACATCTCTAAGAATTATTTCCCTATCGAAGATCAAAGATATAAGTTTAGCAGCAGAATGGCAATCCCCACAAACTCTTAAGTTCTTCACTACCCGAATTGTTGTCCCAGGAGTAGTATTCAGGAGTCCAAATGCAATGGCTAGTTTCTCACTGTGATATCTAAGTGTAATTTCCTTGTCGTCATCTTCCATGTCTGGATGAACAACAAGGGAAGTATCTGGTACATACCCTGCAATCTTTAGTTCCTTCACTAACTCATCGAGTGCCCGATGCAAATCTGTAGAAACAGAATTCACACCATCCCCTGAGAAGAATTCGTGAACTACATTGTTCACCTCAATGGAACTACACCCAGGAATCTTTACCACTCCTCTGTCTTTCATCATTTTTCGGAGATAATCTACATCTTCCCACTTCCCTGCTCTGGCTAATAAGTTTGATAAGATCACATAATCTCCACCATGAGAATCATCAAGTTCAAAAATTCGCCCAATAACCTTCTTTCCCAACTCTATATTTCCATGACTACTACAAGAAGATAACAATGTTCGCCATAGTATTGGAGTAGGCTCAATTGGCAATTCATCTATGAACTTATAAGCCCTATCCAAATATCCAGCTCTACCTAGTAAATCCACCATACACCCATAATGCTTGATACCGGGGATAATTCTGTGCTCCTCGCTCATGTAAGAGAAATACTTGAAACCCTCCTCCACAAGTCCAGTGTGGCTACAAGCATATAAAAGTCCCAGAAATGTGATATTATCAGGTTTCACTTGTGCCCTTCTCATTTCTTCGAACAATGACATGGCTTGATGACCTTGTCCATGAGTTGCGTAAGCCATGATCATAGCTGACCATGCTTGTGTATCTTTTACAGCCATGTTTTCAAAGATAGAAACTGCATCCTTCAAGCTCCCACACTTAGCATACATATCTACAAGTGCAGTATTCACTTTCACATATTTATGAAACCCATACTTCTTCACATATTCATGTATCCACTTCCCTAAATCCAGTGCTCCTAACAGAGCACAGCAAGACAGAACACTGAGCAAAGTAACATCTGTAGGCTTCAGATTTCTCCCCTGCAACTCCCGGAACAATGACAAAGCTTCATTGGGTCTACTGATTTTAGCATTAGCCGTGATTATTGCGTTATAAGACACGACACAGGGCTCTACAATCTTATCAAAAACCAACCGAGCTGCATCCACATCCTTGCATTCAGTATACATATTCACTAACGTAGGACGGACATATATATTGTCATTTAGCCCTACTTTGACAGCAAAGCAATGTAATTGCTTGCCTTCTTCCAATGCCTTAGCACCCGAACAAGCCTTGATAAGGGAAGGAAACGTGTAATCATCCGGGAGGAGACCACAGCATAAGACATCAACAAAGAGGGAAATAGCTTGAAGCGGCGTGTTGGAACGAGAATACCCCCGAGCCATGGAGTTAAACATGACTATATCTGGTTCAGGAATGTCATCGAACAGTTGGTGGGCATGCGCCATAGATGAGGAAGACGGATTCTCGGTACAGAAATTAATGAGCTTGGTGAGGACAGAAGGGTCATTCTGGAGATGGGTTTTAATGGTGAAAGCTTGTATTTGCTTCAGCTCTCGAAGAGTGGAGCACCTGGGTAGCAGAGAAAGTGGGTTTGGTGATGGACATGGGGGTGCCGCCGCTGTCGCCGGTGTCGCCATTGTCGTCGCTCAATTGAATCGTGAGGTCGTGGAGGGAAGAGAGGGATAAAAAGGTGTTTACTGGAAGACCAATAATTTTTTCTGACACGTGGAGTGTCCAACTATTCGACGGAATGCTGACGTGGCATATATTGCGTATGAGTACTCACACTGTAGTATATTTATACATAAGCTGGTTTGAAAGTGGAAAGAAACAAAACAAAACAAAACTGGTTGGGTTTTGAAGTCCTCGGAAACAACGTTATTAGGGTTTTGCAGATATTTTCGTCGTCATCTTGTCTCTTCGTTCATTTATACTCTCTGGGAATGTACCTTTCTGGTATGCTCAAACTCTTATATTGATTATCTTCCTCCTTTCATTTCTTTATGTGCATTTATATATTTGCGTTGTTTCATTATCTAACATATATACCTATATATTTCTCTCACACATATATATATATATAGATATACATATATTCGCTCTGGCATGTTGGTGGGACTCTGTTTTTTATTTTACCTTTCAGCGGATATTTCTGGTTTTAGCCATGGACATTGCTTATATGTATATACTGCGGACAGCCATATATTTCGTCATTCTTTACCGTATGCAAATTTGATGTGAATCTCATTTTCTGATTATCTATATATGTATATACTATTCTTTTTCTCAAACTTAATATTTGGAACACTGAGACTCTAATGAAATCTCGCAGTAGAAATTTTCAGGAGATAAAATGGAGGAAGAGAGATTGTGTCTGGTAGAAGATGTGCAATTAGCTAGACTGGACAAGGTAGAAAAGGCACATGAGAGAGATAATACTCATTTGATGATTCTTGCACGCTCTGCAGAATTAATGTCAGAATCGGAAGTAATAGCTTCGGAAAGTGGTAGCTATGACTATAATTACAGTTTTTTTCTTTGAAATTTTATAACTTGTTTATATAGCTACAGGCACTTAAAATTACTCGTTTGCTGGTATTTTATTTTCATATTTTCAGATGAGAATCTCTATAAGCTTGATTCAGTGGGAGTAGTTGCTTATAGACCAAGTGAAAAAGATGGCTCCATTGACAAAACAAAACGGCTTCGATTAAGTCAAATTAGGCATCAAGCTCGGATTAAGAATTGTTTACCGGTACCAAGGACGTTAAGGGAATGCAAAGGTGTGCAAAGAGAACAAAGAAAAAGCCGACTTACTCAAATTCGGCATCAAGCTCGGTCCAAAATTCATGTGTTATCGTTATCTCAAGTGGAGACTGGAGGATGTCCAAATGGCAACTTGATAAAAGGATTAACCAACTTAACAGAAGTTCGGAATCAAGCTCATTCTCCATTAAACTCAACTGAGAATACTATGGATTTGCAAGAAAGGAATGGAGAGCATGTCGAAAGCAATTTGGATCGATATGTATGTGAAGGTAAGCAAGTAATTCATAGTTAGGGGAATGGTGTGTTCCGTGCTTAATATTTGTGCATTCCAGTGATTCTATGCTGGAATTCTTAGGAATTCAAGGCATGTAGTGAAACTTTTGCATATCTGTTTCAGACATTGTGGGCTTGTATGGAATGTTTGCCGATTGCTATATATGATTTCATCAATAGGGTAAACCAAGCAGATTGGTCGGCCTTTTGTTTAGCTTGTTTAAATCCTTTCTTCTGCCTTCTGCAGAGGTTTATGAATGAAACATGTTTTGTTCCTCAAGATGTAGCATGGTTTGCAAAGATAGATACAGTTACTTATTCTTTAGCTGCACTCTGGTATCGAAAGAACTACGGTGTTCTATTTTCATCACATTGCATGGATGATATACAAATATTTTTAGAATAAACACCCATATCCTCAAGATATCCTCTATCAAAAGAATATCTAGTTCCTCATTCGTATTTTACCAACTAATAAGTGCTCATATATTTCATACAAATTGGAGGTGCTGGAGAATTATACCTTCTGATTCAATATGTCCGAAAATTCATATATTCAGTGTACAGAGAAATAGATGCCGGGTTTACAACAAGAATAATGACTAGAATTAATTAATGCCTTCTTGGTGTTTTTTTACATCTGCAATATCTTTTTTTTTTTTTGTAAATCTTGGAATAGAAATTATATGATTGTGAATGTTCTGATTATTGTCCTTGATTTCTTTGAGATGGCAGTGGATTTGGAAGACGAGAACAGGATGATGCATGTGAAAGGAAGAGTACGCTTAAGTCACATAAGACGTGTAGCCCGGATGGGTGATGCATTTCATTTGCAACGATGTTGGAATTCTGTATAGCAGTGATATTGGTACGAATTCTTTCTCTTTTAGTAAATCAAACATAAGTTAACTCCGTCATGTATTTTTCAAGTAAATTCCTAGCGAAAGAATGGTTGTGGCAATTGAAGTCTTGTATGATCCCAGTGCAGGAGAATGCAATGTAGATTTCTGAGGCTGTGAATGCTCAACTGATATTGGTTAAAGGTCCCTTCTTTTGTGTCTTGATTCCTGAATTCGAGCTGAATAGAAGAAGTTAGCGAATTCAGGTAAATCCGCTTTTGACACCTTTTAAAAGGTTTCGATGGTAAATTTTTGTTAAATTCTTCTCCTTGTAAAGTTTGGAACTTTATTTGTTACTGTCATGAAATTTGACTTCGATTTAAATTTTGCAACTTTATTCAATCTGGCGCTTACACTAACCGAGACTACCAAGTTATTTTGTTATAAATAGTTCTTTGCCCATCTTGTGTCCTACAGATGATTCACAATTTGTTTCAAAGAAGAATATGTGCCTACCACACCCACAATGAGCCAACCATCAAAATCCCTACAATCATCATTAATTCTAACCCAAACCTTTGAGCAGCTTTATTGATGTGTAGATAGCACAGACATGGCAACAAGAATGAGCCAGTGACACACAAAAATGCACCAGTAAACACCATTACGTTCCCGAAAAACAGATTTGTCAAGGCCACAATTAAAGTGCTGGTAACAATTGCTTTTCTCATGATGATATTAAGAGACCGGCTGTTACGGAACCTAGGGAATGCTTCCTCAATAGCTGTAGTGATAGGAGTAATTATAACTGCATACTTGGTTAAGGGACTGATTAGGTGGTGTAAATTGCTATCTGTGTGCTTATTTTTCTTATAGGAAGATTTAAAGTCATTTGAGACTTGAGATATTCTCCATACATCAGGTAGCCTAGAACTGCCATGGATCCATAGTTGATGGTGCTTGTAATGAAGCAGACGAGTAAAACCTGCAATTAGCAGCAACAAGTTGAAGAATGACAATCACTTGAAAAAAAGCAAATATGCAAAGGAAAAACGAGAGCAAATTTTCAATAATAAAATGATGAAAAAATGGGAATGATAAGTCATCGGCTGAATAGTTTATATATTTTTGTTTTTGAGATAAAAAGAATGCAGTATATTAAATCAACAGCACCAAGGGGTGTCACCCATTTGCAAGATATTTTCAGCTCTGTTAGTGTATCAAGAACATTTCTAAAATTGTCCAACTAACTTATAAATGCCATGACTCGAAATTAAAGAATAAAAAACATGTATCCATCTATTCCTAACTTTAGACATCTCACCCTTCAATCCTCTCTTTTTAAATCACCCATTGGCTAAATAGTTTATGTATACCTCATTCTATAAAAGTTTGTGGATTCGAGTTAAATCTGTATTTCCCTGTATTCTTGTACGATAATTGGTATGTATGTATCACCTAATCATGAACTGTCTATGCTTATGCCAAAAGAAAAAAAAAAAAGAGAAGTAGTCTATCCCTTACCTTAGAGAATTGGGTCTGGTCTTCCATTGAGTTGCATAATGTAGGGAAAACTGCATGGCCATGGTAGTAAAAGGCAAACAAACTTATAGCAGTAGGAATTCCTATCACATTCAGAAGCTTTCCTCTTTCATGGGATCCCAAACCATCAACAGCGCCAACCCAAAAGCACAACTAACAACGATAATGCAAACCAAGACACCACCGGCCGATGCATAAGCCAACAGTCCCAGGCTCCTGAACCATGTTGTTGGCCAGATTATAAGTGCAGTTAGCAAAACAAAGGCTTGCTTTCCTCCAATTTTCAGCCCAGCAACTGGGAATCTCGTGTTTGGAAACAGCTTATCTAGATTGTCACCTTCTAATATCAGAAACTCAACTGCAACTAAATACAGTTCCAGATACATGAAAATAGACACAATAGCTCTTCCTTTGTTCCCGAAAGCAAGGCCACCAATGTCAGGATATGTTTTGATAAATGGATTTGCATCCATACAATGCTTTAGAAGTAGCTAGTATACTAACAGAAAAAGAAGTATCAAACTCAACCATCCTCCCTGAGAAAGTGCAAATGGAATTGATATTATTCCCACCCCTGAAGAATCATATTCACTGATTAGTCATGAGATTACATAGTAGTCATGAGATGAACCCATTATCAGTAAAGATCTTGTATGCTTTGCATGAAATAGGCCAAATTGGAAAAGAAAACTTTTGGTCATAGTTGGTCAATTGGATAGGGACTAAATATGAAAAACACAGTAAAATGCTTCTAAATTATGACCGATGCTAAGAGATTTGAAAGATTTAGATAGCAGTTTTATATATGTGTAACTCTGCAGATCCTGTTTGCTGCAAAAAGAACCAGTTCATCATCCACAAGCTCACCAAAAATTTCATCCCTTCCAATAATGAACCAAAAGCTCGAAAAGAACCATTGAGAAGCGCGTGAACAGTATATCTTGAAATATGGAGTGATGACAGAAGCAAAGTGCCTTAACCTGAATGACAAGGAATGATGTGGCTCTACTTTCATAGATGGGCTTCCCTCATAACTGGCAAATTCTCAGTACGTTTGGTGAGAGCATGGAATGTGAAGCAACTAACTGAAAGAACTGAAACTTTGCGGAGCTTTTTGTATTGTTTCTAAATCTGCAATCAATCCATTTGTATTTCATGAGATTAACAAGGAGCATGTATCTGACTCTGAATTCTGGTTAGTCACTAAGAATTTTACAGCATGAAATCCAACTCCATGGATATTCTTAAATCAGCTTGTCTAGCAGCATGGCATGGAGCTCTAAACTGGTTGAATTTCCAGCCAGTTACTGTTTATTGATAGAAAGGACAGGGATATGTCCTGTAACTTTTCGAGAAGTAGCCAACAAGGTGATGATGATGATGATTTTTGCTACTGGAAAAGTACTGATAACTTCTTAAATCATCTAAACTGAAGCAGCACACGAAGAAACTTGCTATCGACACTCCAATTCTTTATGTTGTAGTAGAATAAAGCAAGGAAGAGAGATAACTGATAAGGTATCGAGTCCATTGAAACAAGTCCGTAGGACACTAGTTACAAACACCATATGCAGAAGTTTGCTACCAAAATGGCAAGGAGAATATTATTGATTTACCAACTTTACAAACACCATACTCTTTTCTCTACTAATTAATATTATCAATTATGGTTTAGATAAGTAATTATTATTATTATTTTTTGTTATAGTACATAAATATTTATTCATTAACCTACAAATATATATACATATAATGAGTTATCGTGATATTTTTAAATAATAATTTCTTAACACTCGAGTAATTGACCAAAAAATATGCTAATAGAAAGAGTAAAGCGATATATCAAATTTACAAAGGAAAGAATGAAAGAAATTGATTTATTTCGACAAAAGAAAGAATGAAAAAAATAGCTTGTGCATTATGTTCGAAGTACATATGGGTATTAGGTCAAATGACTTTATCATAAAGAACGACGCTAATTTGATCATTAATTTTAATTAAAAAGATGTAAGTCAATTTTTAATATATATTTTTACACACGACACAATAGTGTTATTTGAGAGTAAATTTAACATCATTGGTTTATATATTAAATTAAATAAAAATTAAAAATATATTTGTATATTTAATTAAGTGGAAAAAAAAAAGTTTATAATATATCTAGAAGGACATATTATTGTGGTTATTCTTGCAATATTAGTGTATATATTTGAATATACATATTTGAGAAACTATATTGAGTTACTTTTATGGGTATATCTATTAAAAAGAAGATAACTTTATCGAGTACTAAATAGTAAAATCATCAAAAAATTCATTGAAGAAAGTCATGGTTTCATAAACCATTCCTCACTTTCTGTCAACAAGACTTTTTTAAGAACTTTATAAAGAAATAAACAGAGAAAATAAAATAAATTTCATCATAAGAATCCCATACTTTCCCTAATACAAATCCCAATATCTGCTATACATGTTATAAATACATGATATAAGTTCGATTTGTTTAAATGGAACTCTGGAACCTTGTTTGACTTGTGGATTTAAACTAATCGAGATATGCACTCGTAACTTTTTTTAAAAAAGAAAAAAATCTTTGTACTAAGCACAAATCTTTTACATTTGAAATCGAGTTATTTTGTTCTAAATAGTTCTTATCCGATCTTGTGTCTTACAGATGATTCACAATTTGTTTCAAAGAATAGTATGTACCCACCACACCAACAAATGAGCCAACCACCAAAATCCCGACAATTATTGTTAACTCTAACCCGAACCTTTGAGCAGCTTTATTGATGCTTAGATAGCACATACATGGCAACAAGAGTGAGCCAGTGACGCTCAAAAATGCACCAGTAAACGCCATTAGGTATCCAAAAAACGGAACTGTCAAGGCCAAAATTACAGTGCTGATAACAATTGCTGTTCTCATGATGATACTAAGAGACCTCCTGTTATGGAAATAAGGGAATGCTTCTTCAATAGCTGTAGCAATAGGAGTAACTATAACTGCATACTTGGTTAAGGGATTGATTAGAGTGGTGTAAATTGCTATCTGTGTGCTTATTTTTCTTGTGGGAAGATTTAAAGTCACTTGAGACTGGAGATGTTCTCCAAACATCAGGTAGCCTAGAACTGCCATGGATACGTAGTTGATGGTGCTTGTAATGAAGCAGACAAGTAAAACCTGCAATTAGCTATAGTTTGTAAATACTTCCTTTTATAATAGTTCGTATGTTCGAGTTAAACTTTGTGTTTTCGTGTGTTTTTGTATTATAATTGATGTGTATATGTCATTTAATTATAAATTATATGTTCTTGTATCTAAAAAAATAAAGAGAAGTAGTCTAGCCCTTACCTTAGAGAACTTGCTCCGGTCTTTCATTGAGTTGCATAATGTAGGAAAAACTGTATGGCCACAGTAACAAAAGACAAAGAAACTTATAGCAGTAGGAATTCCTCTCACATTCAGAAGCTTTCCTCTTTCATGGAATCCCAAACCATCAACAGCACCAACCCATAAAACACAACCAACAACGATAACAGAAGCCAAGACACCACCAGCCGATACATAAGCCAACAATTCCAGGCTCCTTAACCATGTCGTTGGTAAGACTATAAGTGCAGCTAGCAAAACAAAGGCTTGCTTTCCTCCAATTTTCAGCCCACCAACCGTGATCCTCATGTTTGGAAACAGCTTATCTAGATTATCACCTTCTAATATCAGAAACTCCACTGCAACTAAATACAATTCCAGATACATGACGATAGACACGATAGCTCTTCCTTTGTTCCCGAAAGCAAGGCCACCAATGTCAGGATATGTTTTGATAACCGGATTTGCATCCATACAACGGTTTAGAAGTAGGCCAGTATACCAACAGAGAATAGCTACCAGAAAAAGAAGTATCAAACTCAACCATCCTCCCTCAGAAAGTGCAAATGGGATTGATAGTATTCCCACCCCTGAAGAATCATATTTACCGACTAGTCATGAGATTACGAAGGAATGGATGAACCCATTATCAGTAAATGCATTGCATGAAATGGGCCAAATTCAAAAAGAAATTTTGGGCATAGTTGTTCACTTGGGTAGGGACTAAACTAAATAGGAAAAAGACTGTCAAATGCTTCAAAATTGTGACCTGTATTGCTAGATTTGAAAGATTGACTCTGAATTTTGGATAGTCACTATGAATTTTACAGCATGAAACAAAACTCCATAGATATTCGCAAGTCAGCTTGTCTAGCAGCAAGGCATGGAGATCCAAACTGGTTGATTTTCCAGCCTGTAACTTTCTTGAAGTAGACAACATGATGATGATGATGGTAATGATGATTTTTTGCTACTGAAAACTACTAAAAATTTCTTAAATCAACTACACTGAAGCAGCATGCATATATATACTTATCTAAGCATTTTAAGTTAGTAGAATAAACCAGGGAAGAGGCATACCTGATAAGGCATTGAGTCCATTGAAACAAGTTCTGAGGACACCAGTGCCTTTGCCTAATTCTTGGTTTTGTGGGAGCTGGTTTTGGCTCTCTAATCTTTCTGCTTTTGGCTTTAGACACCCCATACTTTTTGTCACCCACAAAGCCAAAAACCCTCTACTTTTATAGAGGGAAGAATGTGAGTTTATAATGTGTAGGGCCATAAAGTTACATACACACAGTGTGTATATTCATTAATTTGACAATAAACATATACTAATCATGAAACAATATAATTTTTTTTAAAAAAATACATGATGCTAAATACATATCTATATAAATTACTTAACGTTCTCTTAAAAAATTTCACTCGTTTGTACAAATCATAATAATAAGTAAAGCAAAAATTGTGGTGATGAATAGCTCTCTTTTTTTCTTTTTAAACGCGTTTGGATCGAAAGAAAATTCAAGAACAAAAAAAGTAAATAATGAAATGTCTATTCTCCTTTTTCTTATTTAGAAAAAAATAGTACTTGTTGAAAGAAATTACTCTAGATGTTTCAATTATAATGTTTTATACATTATTAGAAAATTGATTTAATTTATAAACCCTTACTGCTCACACATACATGAATATAAATGTTACAAACAAAGTAAATTGAAGTGTAAAACTTATATATTATTATTATAGTGTAAATTCTTCGTAAAAATCTTGTAATTACTAATTTATTATAAATTTGAGCGAATTGTGTATTTTATATATATTTTTTTAAAGAAATTATCGTATTATTAGTTATATTATTATTGATGTGTAAACTTTACTTAATTATCAAATCGTAAAATATGTATATATATATATATATATTATCGTACAAACCTGTAAAAACAAAGGCATTGGACATGCCACAATTAATCTCAAGCGAAAGCAATTTCTTTTTCTTCTTACTTAATTTTCCTCTTGCATTCTTTCATGCATACCCACCTAAACTCATACTCGGTTCCTTCATTTTTTTAAGGTTTTCAATAAATGAATTTGCTATTTTATGAAATTTATCCTCCCTTTCTATAATTAACAATCTATATAATTGGAAATATATGTTAATATTATATTATATTTGCCCATGATATATTTCCATAGCATATGTAGAAGTTTGCTACTAAAATGGCAAGAAGAATATCCATCACAAACACCATACTCTTTTCTCTCTTAATTAATATCATGAATTATGGTTTACCATAATTAATTAATATTTTTTGGTACGGTACATAATTATTCATTCATTAACCTATATATGTATATGATGAGTAAATGTCTCGATATTTTTAAATAATAATCTTTTGACGCTCAAGTTAAACGTATGCTAACAAGAAAAGTAAAATGATATATCTAACTTACAATATTGGGTTAGAGAGAGAAGTTGATTTACGTAGCTCTAACTCTCTTAGACAAGGGAAAGAATTAATGGAACAGTTTGTGAATTATTATGATCAAAGGTTATGTAGGTATTGAGTCCGATGTCTTTATCAGGGTATGCAAAATATATAACGAACATGGTTAGTTTGGTCGATGAGTATAATTGGATATGAATATAATGTCAAATTTTAATATATATTTTGAAGTAATGTAGCATGTGACATGACACAATAGTAGTATTCGAGAGTGAATTTAACATCGTTAATGTAATACCCTTGATTAATTAATTTTAATGTAATTAAAATTAGTGTATAAATATAATTTTTTTAATTTTTTAATTCTTATTTAATATAAAAATGAAGAAAATTAAATAGAGGATAACATTGAAAATAATTTTGGAAAAAAATGATGAAAATTTGGGTTATGAAGTTATTTTTGAAAGAAAATTTGAAAACTATAGGTCAAAAGGCAATTTAAAAAAATTGTACAACGTAAGACGCCCAGTCAGTAGCCACGACGAATCAGAACGCGCCGCGTGGAAAGGGACGCTGACGCAATGCCACGTGAGAGGCCACGCTGGCGATCTGTGTGCTCGCGATCGGACAGTTCAGATTCGTTCCTGCGCGCACGGACGATATGGATCCGTTCCCTCCTCAAACGCGATCGAACGACCACAATTAAACATGATGAATGGTGTAGATTCACTTTCTATTTAAACACGATCGGACGGCCCAGATCAAATCGCGATGAACGGTCCAAATTCACTTCTTATTTAAATGCAATCGGACGGTTCAGATTAAATGCGATGGACGGCTCAGATTAAAAGGAGATTGATATAAATAACTCTAACCCCAGTCGCCAGACTCCCCCAATCGAAGAAGAAGACCCAGTCACCCGGAAGGGAGCCAACCGCTGCCGCCACCGCGCTGGAGCTACTTTCGACCGCCAAAAGAGGTAATTTTTTGCTCAAAATTAGATTTTAAACACCCTCATGGCCAAATCGAAGTAAAAGAACTGGCGGATTTGCCGAAAACTGCAGGCAAAGCCCGGTAGTGCCACTGCGAGAAAAAGTAAAAATCACCTCCAATGAGACTCTTTTCGATTTACGTTTCGTATAATTTTTTCACCATTGTAATCATCATTCCTTTCTCTACAGGTTGACCAAAGCAAAATACCCAACCGCGAGTGTGAGCCAGCGGAGTGGCCGCACCGGAGAACCCCGCCACCGGTAAGTTTCAGTTTTTTAATTTTTTTGGGCTAACCGATATCCCTTAATGTATTTTCTCATAGAGATTGGTACAAAACTGACCAAATTCGGCCAAAAATAGCCTACCCGAGGCAAACTACCATCGCGGACGATAGTGTTGTCGCTGGAATACGGCAAAGCCACCGTGCCAGAATTTCAAAATTGGTCAAAAAGGGTTCCTAACACTGATTTTGGATTTTTTGATATATTTTTAGGTACTTAAAGTACATTTTAATCCCCGAATAAAAATTTGGAGAACTTGGGGACCGACAGTAGGCGCAGTCAAAATTTAGCATTTTGAACATTAGACTGAGTATGAATCCCTTACCTTATTCCATGTTATGGAATTGAAGTTTAATTTTAAATAATATGGTATTTTGTGAAACTTAAAAAACATTCATAATTAATTATAGGTTACCAATGGAGCCGGAACCGGTTATTTATTATTGTTTACTATGTTTAACCGATTACCTAATTTTACAGTTTTTGAATGCACAATAATACACTGAAATTAGTATGATGGTATGATGATGCAATTGTATTCTTTTGATGCATGTTTTGCTTGTTTTATGTGATTATGGTTGAATTGAAAAACTGAAAATTAAAGGTAAACAAGAAATTATTTGGTTAAGTGGATGGCTGAAATGGCAACCTTACTGGATATCCTGAGAAATGGTAGATAGAATGGGTACATAGGGAACCCTACCGTGAACGTTGTCTTATACCAAACAGGGTATTAAAGTTTAGTAATTTGGTACTCATACCGGACATGGTATGGGGACGGCCCGTTTCACCCTCATACCGAAAGAGGTATTGAGGGATTGTATCTTTTGCGCTCATACCGAACAGGGTATAGAGATAACTCGTTAATTAAAAATATAAAAAGAGAGTTCACGGGTAGTGGGGACATCCCTGTGGACTCCCATGGATACCAGTAGGCTGATAAAAGGGAAGGTTATTATTCCGACTGATTGTATATGAAATTATGATATGTGTTATGTTATTGACTCTATAGGTTGTTTTTAATAATTTCGCTATGGTAAATATGCGGTAAATGATTTTATTTATGACAAACGAATTTACTTAAATTAAGAGCTTCATTAGTTGTTTTTATGATTTCTACCAATATTCATTTCTGTGCTGGTGAGTAGCGTGATATTCTTACTGAGTTAGCCGTAACTCACTATTTCATTAACAATTTCATATCAAGAGGACCAGGATCCATAACTCAATCTACAAGAGAGTTACGAGTAGGACGTTCAGTTTGTTTACTTTTAATTTATTTCTTTAGTTATTAATTGTTCTTTTAGAAGGGTTATTCTCATAAGCCCTATTTGGTACTTTTAGTTATTGTATAAGGAATGTAAACTCTAACTATTTATTTCGCTTCCGCACTAAATTTATAATTTATCTCATTTAGAATTTTTAGGGTCGTAATTAGTTTATATATTTAGAAGGACATGTAATTGTGGTTTTTCTTGCAATATTAGTGTATATATTTGAATATACAAAATTAGTGTATATATTTGTATATATATACTTGAAAAAATATGTTGAGTTACTTTCATGGGTAGATCTATCAAGGGAAAAGAAGAAACAAATAACAAAAATCATCAAAGAAAAATTTATAAAGAAAGTCATGCATTCATAAACCATTCTTCACTTTCTATCAACGAGACCTTTACCAACTTTGTAAAGAAATAAAGAAAGAAAATAAAATCAGAAAAAGTTCATGATATGAATCCCATCTTTTCCCTTATACAATTCCCAAGAGTAAGATTGTACATCACTTTCCCTCTCTTTTTTTTTTTGTTCTAAAGAAAAAATCCCACTCAGCTTATTTATTTGACCTAATGTTACGGAGTTATGCAAAATGTTCGAACTTGAATAATCAATTCTCCAATCAAAACATTACAACATTGGAATTGAATGGTTTTCACAATCTGATATAATAAATTACTCTATGAAATTAAAGGGAGAGAAATGAATTGATCATATGAGTTTTATTGTAATAGTTCTAAGATCAAACAATTCTATCTGCTCGTTTCCATTGTATCTGTCTATGAGGAGCCCTAAAAATGGTTGAAAATATTTGTTGGGATATGGACCAAATATATAGTCGAAGAACCATATTTGTCTTCCTTCTATAAATTCAATTCTATTATATATGTTATGTATTATATATTAATAAGAAATCGTCATTATATTGAGAGAAATATTTTTCATTAACTCAATAAGAGGATATTGGTCACTATTTTGATATCAGAATTTTATATTATAATTAATTCCTAATTTAAATAGTTAATATATCTAGTTCTCTATAAAAAATTATATGTTCAAATCATATTGTATTTTAATATATATTTTTATTGTGGTACGGTTCGTGTGTGTCTATATATATATATTAATTTTTCTATAAGAATTTTTAGGTTTAAGTGAGACTATTTATATATATTTTAACATGAAAGTTATTTTTATTGTGCTATTGAATAGATTTAATCTTGTAAACTTACATTGCAAGTGAAATGATGTATTAGAGTATAAATAACTCATTAATTTTTTTATTAATTTAAACATTAAAGAGAATTGGTTTAATCAAATTATTATTATTATTTTTTAAATTATGTGGTTATGCCTAATTTAGTGACTAATAAAATTGATTTGTTTAGAATCAAGTGAAAAACCCATATAGTGGAATATGGGCCCCTATGAAGATAAGACACCAGTAAGTATATATATACATATAATATAAATATATATATATATATATTTATATTATATGTATATAATGCACACTTTTCTACACAAAAAGCAGGTTGCAGGTCTGACAAAAACCCAACACTCTTCTTTAATCTCACAGAATAAAGTCACCTTCCATTTCAATTTGGTAACTATTTATTTATATTCTGATTATCAGATTGATTAAGGTATTACCAATATATACATATATATATATATATACTGTGCAAATAATACCAATATATATATATATATACTGTGCAAATAAGTGCATTTCAATCCTTTTCTTATAAAAGAAAAATAGAAATAAAGTGCACCGTCCATGATAGAACAAAATTTATTGGGTCGGCTGTGCATTTCAATTCTTTGCTTAAAGTGATATTTTATAATGTCTAAGAGAAATTGGATTACCGACTGTCCATTTTCGTTATTAATTATTAAGAAAATAAATAAATACGTTAATTGATCGGTAAATTTTTACTTTTTATTATAATTTAATTTTTATCAATATACTCGTAATATCATATGATGTTACGAGAATTTATTACGAATGATGTCACGAGAATTTTTTAGTTCAATAAATATATGAAAAACTATCAATTTATAAGTAAAAAAAAAAATAATAGTTTTAAATTGAGTGATAAATTTTTTTTTTTATATTTTACAAAGAGAAAGTGGGTATTAAATAAAAAAATATGATATTTACGTCATAAAGTAATTATATATACTAAATATGTTTTAATAAAATAAATTTGTATTAATTATTAAAATAGTATATAAAATTTGACATTTGTTATAAATTTTTAATATTTTTTTTATTATAATTTAATTTATGATATTTTTTTATTATTTAAATTCTCTTTTATTTTGTACGAAGAAAGTGGGTATTAAATAAAAGAATACGAAACTTATATCATAAAATAATTATATATACCAAATGTGTTTTAATAAAATTGGATTTAACCAAACTAATATATGAAATTTGACATTTTTTATATATTTTTAATTACAAATTTATTTATTAATATTCTCTTTTTGTTTCAAACGATTATTTTTTCTTATATTTTGTATGAAAAAAAAAAAGTATAAATTACGAAATATGATACTTTCATCGTCGTAAAGTAATCATGTATACTAAATATGTTATAGAAATTACATTAGAGCATGTATTATCTCAAACCATATATTAGTATAATTTTAGACTATATATATTTTTATATTATAAATTGTGATTATAGTATATAATATGATAAAAAAATAAAAATATTGACTAATAAAACTATAATATTTTAATTTTACATCAGATATATATATATATATATATGATTATAATTCAATTGAATTGAATAAAATTTATTCTAATCATATAAAACTAGGTCTCACTATAAAATTTATTTGGAAATAAATACTAAATTGAAATTCATTTTTATTTCAAATTATTCAAATAATATACATTTTAAAAAAAAATCGGTCCATTTTTAATAATTTAAATTATATATTAAATTAATATTAAGTCAATTTAAAAAAAAAAATTCGAGTCAAAATATTCGTAATATAAAAATTGAACCGCGAGTAATTCGTTAAAATTTCACCACGTAAGCAACGCGCAAAACAGCGAGCAACAAGTCAGAAGAAGCATGTAACGATCAAATTCCAGATTTTTTCACCTGCTGCTTCTGACCCGACGGAGACACCGAGAGGGCGAACCTTTCACCAAAGCCCTCTCCTTCTCCGATCGGGAATCCCCAATTCTAAAACCCTAAGAATCTCCACTTTCTTTTTTTGTAATTTCCTAAATTAATTCATTTCGCATTTCCTTTTTCTTTTGTTTGATCATATGTTTTCCTCTCCACCTTTTCGTAATCTTTGATGCGGCGATCGCATGCCCGCAATCGGGTCGAGAATAAACCTAATTCTCCCGATATGGATCCCGTCAAGCCCCAAATCCGACCCCTCAACCGATCCGGCAATCTCATCTCTCGGAACTCCAAGCAGATTAAATCACCACTTTTGGTAACCGCTGCCTCCCTCGCTGCCTTGCTGGTATTTCTACTTTGTTGCTATCTATTCTTTTCTGCAAGACCTTATTATAACCCGGGAGGTTCTAGAAGGTACGGCATTGTTATAGACGGAGGCAGCACGGGAACTCGAATATATGTGTTTAGCTACCGGGTTGGCGGGGGTAGCCCGGTATTTGATTTTGGGCAGAAGTTTTTGGAGACGAGCATGAAGGTGAATCCGGGTCTGTCGGCGTATGCGGAGGATCAGGATAATGCGGGCGGGTCTTTGGTGGAGCTAGTGGAGTTTGCAAAGGGGAAAGTGCCTAAGGAACTCTGGAGAGAGACAGAGATTCGGTTAATGGCTACAGCGGGGTTGAGGCTGCTGGAGTTGTCGGCTCAAGAGCGGATTCTGGACGCCTGCAGAAGGGTCCTCAGGTCTTCTGGGTTCAAATTCCGCGATGAATGGGCTTCCGTTATTTCAGGTAATTTCTTTATGTGGTCTTGTATGGGCATTAGATGGAGTAGTGAGTAGAGTAAGGAGACTGCGTTAAGTTCAGTAGTTGGATTCAATGAATTTCTCGCTGCCAAATTTGAAGGCAATGTTGTAGAAGCTATGATAGTTTCTTTATTTTTTGTGTACCTTCACTCCCGATGGTTGTGGTGTGAGAAATGTGGATAAAGGGTTGTACTTGCATTTGAAGGGAAGGGATGAAGTGGCAAGAGATATTTTTTTGTTGGTGGCCATTCAGTTTGTTAATGTGTTTTTGAGTTGGATTTTGGCAATTCTCCCTGGTTTTCTCTTGTTGACTTGTTTCAAAAGTTTTATCTTATATCCAGTTCCTCAACGGGATCATTTTCCTGGATTAAGTTTTGGGAATTTCTCCCTGATGTTCTCTTGTTGATGTGCTTCAAAAGTTTAACTCTCGGGTCTTCTATCTGTGTCAGGGTCGGATGAGGGGATATATGCATGGGTTGTTGCAAACTATGCACTGGGTACCCTTGGAGGAGACCCTCTCAAAACAACTGGGATTATAGAACTTGGTGGGGCTTCCGCTCAGGTTTAGTTGCTTCTTCCTTCCGTCATGGAATCTTACTAAAATAGTAGATGATATATTTCACCATTTAACAAATGTCGGGAAATACTATCAGTCAATTAGTTAATGTGCTTAGTTAATGTTTTCAGTTAAATGTTTGTACTAACAGGATAAAGTATCCATTTCAAGATAGAGGAATCTAGTATGAAAAATGAATTATCTTGTAGACCTATCACTGTCACATCCTATATTTTTTGCTTTATTATACATTGCAACTATGAGCCAAATGTTGTTTGGAAGTATGAAATGGCTTCTCATTCAGATAAGATTGGCTTGCATTTCTCAGGTAACTTTTGTTTCAACTGAACCCATGCCTCCTGAATTTTCACATACCGTCGAGTTTGGAAATGTTACTTACAATCTTTATAGCCACAGTTTTCTACATTTTGGACAGGTAACCCCCATCTATATTACTTGGTTTCATCTCATGTGACCTTCATTTTCACTGTTCCTTACTGTTTCTTTCCTTGAAATTTGCCTCCTGTATAATTTACCCTATGTATGATACTTTTGCTTTTGGTTCTATTATATTGGGTCATGAGATGTATAGGGTGGAAAATTTTGGGTATATTATAGATTTCTTAACTAATATGTAACACTTTTTGTACATGGGCTGCACCACCTTGGTGCTTTGTTAATATATTTACACTTTTTTATTTCAAAAAAAAAAAAGTATGATACTTTTGCTGTTTCAATCTCTTAGGAGGGATAATCTAAGACCTAGATCCATTGACACTTATTCATCAATTTTTTTATTTTCTTAAACCTTTGTTAGATTGGTGTTGATGATCAAACCTTGAATAATTTGCACATTCCAAATTGTAGAGTTACATGAGTTTCCTGCATTTGCAATTTTGGTGGAAGGGTTCCACAGTCCATAGTTAATATGGTTATACTAAAGAGAGCACAAAGTCTTCAAGCAGTTCTAACATGAAAATTGATTTATGAAAAACAAAGTGCATACCACTTACCTACACATTACTAAGATGAATGGAAAAAGAAAACGCATAATTGGAAAACAAACTAAGCTCAATAACGTAATCGATTCCTTGAATGAAATAAGGGTTGAATAAGACTAGCTATAAAGTAGGAATAGAATAAGGTTCTAATGTTATTGTCATTACATAAGATTGCTTTCTATGTTAGAATAATTACTGCACCTGAACATAAAACAATGAGTTGTTGCCAGTTGCACCATGTTGACCAGCTAAACTGAAGCATAGATATGGCTTAATCTGTCTGGAATAGTTGTCTGATGCTGTAAACGACCGTGGCTTGCTGGTCTGGCAAGTTTCTATGAAGATGTGCTGGATTGTAAAGTGTCCTGGTGACTTCTGCAACATGCGCAGCCTGGGTTATGTTTTACTTTTAGCAATTTAAGAGTAAATATGGTCCTTTATTTGTGAAATGGAGAGAAATTTTTAGAAAGTTCAGTTTAGTCAGCTAGCAATTGGCATTCATACTTTTCCTCCAATGAATTGATATCACATTTGGGAAGGGAATTCCAATCCCTTCACAAGTACCAAGGAAGTGCAACTTGTGTACAAATATTTACAAGTCAAGCAAAAAATTGATTAGGTCCCTTAGATTGTCACTAGTAGCACATTTGACCATTAATAAAAAACTTAGAGTTCCCCTCTGACTGGTCTAGCCGCAATCCAACTAATCCCCAGCAAATTGTGAGCCAAATTCCACAGTTTATAAGGCTCCAGCCACAAAAAGTAGGAGATGATTAACTGTTTCTGCAGCTCCTTTGCACATGTAGCACCCGTTTACAATTACCTTCCCTCTTCTAATGAGGTTGTCAAGAGTTAAGATACAACTTCTAGCTGTCTCCCAAGCACAGAAAGCAACTCTTGGTGAAGTGCTAATCTTCCAAATTAGGTTCCAGGAGAAGTCATCCTTTTTCCTCCCATTCTCCATCAAGAAGGCATAACATGACTACGGAGACAACACACCTCGCACTGAAGGGCCCACATATGTCGATAATACTTGCATCAATGCCAGATACTCACTTATCTCCTAGTCATTGAGGTTTCTTGTCAAATCCACCACACAAGCTCCACTACCAAGGTGTTGGAGAAAGAATCTGTCACCATAGTCTCCTTGTTACGGGCCAAAGCAAAAATAGTGGGAAATGCCGATATAAGGATCCCCCAGTATTAGCTATCCAATGTAATCTATATGGTTGAGATTGAGGATGGGATGTGATTATGTTGAAAGATTGATTTGTTCAACTGTAGAGAATAAAACAAGCTTCTTGCAATAATTTCCATGAATAACAATGCTGCTCTTACTTTTAGCTTCACGACAGGCTAGAGTTTGAAATTTTGGAGAATGATTCAAATCTTTCTTCATTTTGACTACCTTCTTTTGCTTAGCTACAATCAAGAAGACTTGTCAATTCTATCAACCATAAAGGATGATTCATTCTCTTTCTTATGATTCTACATGTTTAAAATTTTCTCACGATTTTCATGAAGAGGATCCCAAAAATAATAACATGCAAAAATTCCTGAGAATCATTTTGAACTGCTGGAAATTGGTTTTGAAGGGGATATATAGGCCTAGGTAAACCGATTTGGTCAAACTCGATTCAAAAAGTCAGAACAGAGCATGAGTTTACAGAGCCTACTCGGAGGTCAATGTGCATGAATCTTACGTGTTGGCTTTTGGTCACCAGTTGATGGCTGGCATTTGGCAATCGACTGAACTAGGGGTGGGGGTTGCAGATTGGAGGTCAGTGTAAGATACAGTTGCATTGAAGCAGGAGATCATGAGAGGCAGTGATTGAGAGCACTTGCACCAGCAAATGGCATGTTTTCCAATGGAGTTTCACGGTGGGGCTCCCGATGTCTATCGACGGGAGTCTTCCAAGGCTGGTGGTAAGGGTGGTGGTACTCTTTGCCCGATGATGGCTGATGGGTGAGCTATTGGCAGTTTTAGGGTTTCTGTGTGTGCCTTATTTTTTTTATAGGAGTTTGGGGTTGTTTGGTTGTAGAGCTTTGAGATTTTAGGATGCAGGGTTCTTTTGGATCTGATACCAACTGATGTAAGACAAATTGCTTATTTATATGGTTTGGAGTTAAAAACCTAGACATTGCACCTAGGGTTTCTTAGACATTGCATCTAAAAGCAAGCTTTAAGTACACATTTAAGGGTTTGATGGCATCAAATTACCAAAAAATTCAAAGCTCTCAAAATATTTTATTGAATAACTTTATGGTAACCTCAAAGAGATTATAAAGGTATTTATAGAGCCAAGTAAGTTTTTCCCAAGTAGGACTAGACTAAATATTATTAAGACTAATAAGATTAGAAATATTACTCATAAGAAAATAGGAAAGTTTAATAATAACAAGATTAGAAATAATACTAATACTACAAATAGATACTAATAGGCATAAAATCCTGAAGTTATCAAAGGTATAATAATACTCTATATAGTATAGTATTTTTATCTTTCATAGAATTATGCTTTCAAATATATCTAGACAATCTAAAGAAGATCTTTTCTGCATCACATTCATGTCCTCGCAAATTATCTAATCTGTTCCTTTTTTAGTGTGTCACTTTGCCACATCTTGTGTATTGTTTTGTATTGTGATATATTATTTTTTCAGTCTAATCTGAAAGCATTCTAGGGGACATTTCTTTCATACTTTTAAGACATTTTCTTGGGGACCATTAACTTGTTACAGTTTGCAGAATGTTGCATATCAATCTTTGAGGCAATTACTTATTTCAGGTGATCTGAATTCAGGTAAATAACTATGCTTTTAAAAATATTTTCTTCCTATATAATAGAGGGACAGAGATAAAGATTCCATTTGACAGTTTCTAGCATTGGCGGGCTCAGACTATCACAATAATGTGAACTATAGTTTCTTGGAACTTGAGGTTTAAGATCCTGTCCATCATTGAACTTGAATTATATGCTTGAAAAGCTATTGAATGATTAAATTTATAAGTCCATTCGGCGAAATGATTGTACACGTTCTTACATCTTTATCTCCAGTAGCAAGTTGTTATTTTGATCGTTGTTTTCCTTTGAGAATTGAGCCACTGTACTTCATACAAGTTGAAGTTTGTAGCTGTGTATTATGCTATAAGTGGATTCTTGAAATATATCATTCAGTTTTTTTATTTAAAGAAAAAAAAATAGTAAAACGAAAATTGTTCACATTTGGATCTCTATTACAAAAATGGATTTAAGGGCTTTAGCATAAAGATCCATATGCTTGTAATAATCTAAAATGTCTTTTCAAAAAAGTCCTTACGTTATTTATATCCATGCAGCTGCTGAGTCTCTTCACAAAGGAATTTATATAGATCCTTGTACCCCGAAAGGTTACTTACCAGGTAGTGGGTCATGGAAGTTCTCGCCTGGATCTTCGGATGAAAAGAACAAGTATATATCTAATCTTCAAGCTGGGGGTAATTTCTCAGAGTGTAGATCTGCTGCATTAATGATGTTACAGAAAGGAAATGGTAACACTATCCTTCAAGCTTTAACACTTTCACTGACTTGTCTGTTTTGAGAGTTTATTTCAATTTTTTTTGAAGAAAATGACAAATGGTATTTTTGTCTGATATTTAGATAAATGCTTCTTTGAACACTGCAAAGTAGGATCAGTTTTTGTGCCTAAACTTCAGGGAAAGTTTTTGGCTACTGAAAACTTCTTCCACACTTACAAGGTATGATTTTGCCATTTTTATGTGTCCACATTCCATAGTTCCCCATAGTTTTCTTCATTTTATTTCTGTTTTATTCTCCATATCTGGACTCAATTCATCTTTCTCAACAATAATTCTTTGTTTAATTTTATGATTTATCTTCAGACATTTGTTAATTGCATGGTATCTCTCTTATTCTCCTTTTGGTTAGTTCTTTGAGTTGAGACCAAGGGCCTTTCTTTCTGATTTAATGATGGCTGGAGAGCAATTTTGTGGAGAGGAGTGGTCAAAGTTGAAGAGGAAGCACCATTCACTTGATGAAGAAGATCTGGTGCACTATTGCTTTTCTTCTGCATATATTTTGGCATTACTTAGTGACAGCCTTGGAATTGCTCTGGATGATGAAAGGTAAATTTCTTATTTAAACAACATATCCTCAAAGTTGGACAGCTAATATGGTGCGCATATGTATATTCAGTTAGTTGAATCATGCTCACTTGAATTTACATGAACAGGATTAGAGTTGCTAATCAGGTGGGAGACATACGACTTGATTGGCCATTGGGAGCTTTCATCCTGCAGAGTACAGCTAACATGGATGTAAATCATCCCGACTGGATTTCCACCATTATCAATGACGATTCACCAACATTACTGTA